TAAAAGATGAGTCCCACATAGTTTTATGTGTGTGTAGGAGATAAAATTATCTCCTATAACTTCAGAGATTACATATATATATATATATATATATATATATATATATATATATATATATATATATATATGGAAAAATATTTCTCCGGCAACTTGAGATAAGTTTATCTCCGGTTACCCCAAAACTACGTCATTTTGTTTATTTATTTTCTTATATTAATTGATTCACCTTTGAATGGTTATGATTTTCTTTTTCTCTCTCTTCTTTTATTACCATTGATCCATCTTTGTACGGTTATAATTTGGTAGCCGGAGATAAAATTATCTCTGGCAGCTTGAGAAATGATAAGCCCATATATATATATATATATATGGGTAAACATTTCTATAGCCACTTTAGATAAAGTTATCTACAACTACTTTAAAAACTACGTCGTTTTGATTAATGAAGGTGTTTATGTAATTTTAGGTGAATTAATGAAGGGTGTTTCCCTAATTTTGTTTATTTTTTTATTATATGCATTTTACTGAAACACCCTTCATTAATTCACCTAAAATTACAAAAACACCCTTCATTAATTAAAACGACGTAGTTTTTGGGTAGTTGTAGATAACTAAGTAGCTGTAGAAATATTTTTTTCCATATATATATATATGGCTTATCATTGCTCAAATTGCTTGTGACAATGTTATATCCGGCTACTAAATTATAACCGTACAAAGATTGATCAATGGCGATAAAGAAAGAGAGAGAAAAATAGAATCATAACCATTTAAAGGTGAATCAATTAATATAAAAAAATAAATAAATAAAACGACGTAGTTTTGAAGTGACCGGAGATAACATTGTCTCAAGCAACTTGAGAAATGTTTTTCCCATATATATATATATATATATATTATATATAGTTACGGGATGCACGTTGCTTTGGCTTAGGTCATCGGTAAAGAGGGTCCGTGGTTTGGAAGTTATTTTATTTGAAAAGGATAAAAGATACCAAGGATATATAGTACCCAAAATAAATAAATAAAAAAAGATACCTATGATATAGAGAGGCTTGATGAAATTTGTGAAGAATTACTTGTGTTCAGAATATAGAGAGGCTTGTGATAAATTAATCTAGGTTTTGAAGAAAATTGCGAAAACGACATTACTTGGCATAAACTGATGTTGATATGTTGCATAATTTTTTGTTTTTAATTTTTTTTGGGTGAAGACGTGTTGCATAGTTTATTTGCGTGCTCGGAAAGAAATTTGAGTGCAGGAAAACCTGGGATGTGTATTGGTTTGCAACTCAATGACAAGATATCCAACCCATAGACGGAGATTTATTTTGGTGCATCGAGCCATAAAATATTGAGTGGGGCAGAGGAGAGAGGAAAAAAAAAATTCATATATCATTTCCTTAATGGGAGAACCACCATGGTCCAGTAACATATTAAAAATTTTTGCATGACGACTCAATCACTTAAAAGTTTTATTATTTATTTATTTTTAATCAAACATGCTGAAACACTGTCGTTTTGGGCTGAAAGGAAAAGTTTAGTCTTCATCACTCACGCACCCTTTTTTTTAATTGAATGTTTCTTATCTTGGTTGATGGTAATTGAGTGTTTTTGGGTCATGGGTTGAATTGTTAGTGACATAATGGGTGCGATTTGTTTGTTTGCATTTGATAATTGAAGTAAAATGTTACAGTGATGTACCAAATGGTGATAGCTCAGTTGGCGTATGGGAACTAAGCAGTGTAGGTGAGAGCATGTGTTCGAATCTCTCCAGTACCACATTTAGGAGGGGTTTAAAGCCTTAATCATGAACCCGCCCCGAATCGGATTAGTTGCGAAGCAATGAACCGATTGAAATATTTCCAAAAAAAAAAAAATGTCACAGTGATATGGGTATTTTGGAGATGTGTGATGTTAGCTTTAAGTGCTTGACTTAGTTTGGGTTTGGGACTTTTTGTTTTTGGACAATATTGGGATTTGTTATTAGAATTAGATCAATGCAAGATTTACTCTAATATCATAAGTTCGTAACTATTATTTTACATCATAAAAAATCGAATATTTTATATATATATATATAAGGGAAACTGAAATAAAATCCTATGTTTTTAAGCTAAAACTTTTGGCTTTTAGAAAATGTAGAATTCAAAATTGAAATAATTTTCTCATAATTTAAATCTTCTTACAGCTGCCACTGTTGCATTCCCGTTATAAACGAGTGTTTTGATATCAATTTAAAAAAAAATACAAAAAAATCAAAATCCTATTTTTAAGCTAAAATATTTGGCTTTTAAAGAAGGTAAAATTCAAAAGTGAGATATTTTTCTTATAATTTGAATCTTCTTCATTGTTGCCACCATCTCCACCACATCATTCTCGTCATCGTCACCTCCGTCGCTATAATGACTCTAGCCTATAAGTAAAAGAAATAAAGTTATCTTTAATGAAAAAGTGAAAGTAAAATTAGAAACATGACTAGAAAAATATTCTAATCCATTGAGTAAAGTTTGGTAATAAATGGAGATGCCTAGATAGATAAACTTCTACTCAGTTAAATTTCACTTAATATACGTAAGTGAAAATCTCAAAAAATTTCACTATTCCTTCATCTTCTTCGAAAACGGATCGACAGAGGATAAAATGAAAAAAAGAAGAGATTTTGATTTAAAATCTTCCAAAATTCATAACTTGAGCTAGAGACCTCCAAATCACTTCGTTCCAAAGCCAAATTTATGAGAAATTTCGAGAGGAATCCATTGATACCAGTATTTTCGTGGTGTGGGATTCACTATAGAGAGAGTTCTTCCTTCCCTAAAATTTTGAATTTCTTGAAAAAGATGGGTTTTGATGAAGTTTGAGGCCATGGGAGCTTAGAAACTCATCTCTCCTTTGTTCTAGAGTGTATTGTGGTAAGAAATTCCCTTCCTTTTCATGTTTTTATGAAGATTGAACTTAAGTTTCCATTTTAAAAATTTGGCTTGAATGAGCATGTTAGAGCTTGATTAAGGCTTAACTCATGTTGAGAAAAGTATTTAGATGAGGATTTTAACGGTGAAAATATACTCGGAAAAAATTAAAGATACCGTATTTTTGAATAGTGTCGTATGCATGAATAGTGACATATACTTGAATAGTACTGTAGAGATGAACAATGTCGTATGTATGCATTGATGATGGATAATAATATAAATGTGTTCCTTGGTTATAGTGTGAGACCAAGTGGACTTGTGGAGCAAGAGCATAGACATTGAGCAAGGCTTTTGATTACTTGAGATTGAGGTAAGTATCAAACAATGGTTTGATGTGAAACTTATATGAAATGGATATATGTTTAATTGTAATAAATTCACCATGGATAGGTGTGTTGGTCATTTGTTGAGCATTTGTTGGCTTGTGGACTCTTTGACTTGGAAGAGACTAGAAAAAGAGTTATTCTAGGTAAGCTTTCGGTCCTTGAGATTAATCCCCCATTTGTTCCACCAAACTCCGAGAGAGGGTGGTAGTTTGATATGGTATGTTGAAAATTATTTTCTATATGTTGCATGTATATGTATGTATGTTTGTGTGCCACACAAGACGATGTTTCCTTGTGTAAGGCATAAGACGGTGTTTCCTTGTGTAAGGCATAAGACGGTGTTTCCTTATGCATATTATAAGACGATGTTTCCTTATACAGTATGTTGCAAGACGGTGTTTCCTTGCGTAATGCGTACCTGTTATATTCTCTGGCCAGTAGGATTACCTTATTGCACACTGCATTGTCATACATATTCTGATGCATGCATGGAATTTTATACTGTGTTTATACCAGAAGTGAGCTTAGGGGTGGTGGAGCCCTCCAAGGGTCCCTAGCTTACTGAGGTAATTATATTATCTCATCCTGCATTATGGAGATTACCATTTCAGGTACAAGAGCTGATGGTGCTGAGGCATCGCGTGGCAAGAAGCCAGACGAGGGATATTACCTGACCAGATAGTCAGGATTAGCTTGTTATGCTTATACGTATTTGACATGGTTTTATTTTGGATATGTATCTATATGCCATGTTATTATTTTGAGAGCATAAGAGATGTCTATGTCATGTTGATAGTTTATCTATTTTGTTAGTTATGTCTGTATATGTCTAGGTTACATATTTGATTACATCTCTTTTGGTTGGTTAACGTAATCATGTACGTAACTCTATGGATATTATTTTGAGACTTGTTATGATTATGAGATAGCCTATGCCATGGATGGCTGGGTGATATGGTTTATGCATGGATTAGATTAAACTGTCAATCAGGTTGAAATTATAATGATTGGAATTATCCCAATAGTCCAAAATACAAACGAAATGTTGTCCGTTTTATTATGGCCATGGAAGTGAAAAAGTTTGCAATACATAAGAAAAAAGAGAAAATTTATTCAATTAATTTCTGCATTAAATTAAGTTTAACATGCTACACTACGCTTACTATTATATGAATGTTAATTAATCGGCTGCAGCCGCCGCCACCTCTATTATCATTGTCACTATCAAATTTTGTTTTCGTGATTTATTTTCACATGTCTTTATTAATATTTTTATACAATTTTTTTTTTAATTTTAATATCCAAAATAACTTTAATTTTTTAAAAAAAGTTTTTTTTTTTTTAAAGAAGTAAGAAAGTCCGTTGATTCCCATAGTCTCTTAAGATTGAACACAGTCATTTAGATAAGAGGGCTTCTTACCATTACGAATGGGCCTTGGTTATAGGGAAAATTTCTAAAATATCCCAACATCGAATGTAACGATCTGTTAATTAATAGTTATTACCTGTAACGCAATCTGCATTAATGTGGGTGATTAACAAATTGGAGTTTGGTATTTTCATTGTAACATCAAGTATATATGGTTGAATGTAAATTAATAACTTCCACTCTTCTAACGTTTTTAGCACTCATCAAATAATATATAAACACATATTCATGAACACATTTCTTATAAGCTCAGCTTGTTTTACATTGTCAAAAATGGAAATTAACATCATATCAAGAAAAACCATTAAACCATCATTGCCTACTCCTAATGAACGCAAAACCTACAAACTATGTTTGTTTGATGTGTTTCAACTCAACACATATTTTCCACTGATCTTATTCTACAGTAAAACCAATGACATGCAAGGATTCTCATACATCTCAGATCAATTGAAGAAATCACTATCTGAGGCACTAACCATTTTCTACCCTCTTGGAGGTAGAAGAAGTGACATCTTCTCCATAGATTGCAATGATGAAGGTGCAATTTACATTGAAGCCTCAGTGAATATCAACATAGAAGAGTTCCTAAAACCACCAAAACTAGAATTACTATACAAATTGCTTCCTTGTGAGCCAAACAAGATACAACCCCACCAACAAGCCTTGCCCCAGTTGCTAGTTCAAGTGAACAAATTCAAGTGTGGAGGAATAGCTATTGGCTTGTGCAATCTCCACACTCTCTTAGATGCATGCTCTTGTAGTACCCTTTTGAAAACTTGGTCTTCCATTTGTAAAGGATCAAGGGAAGAAATATCATGGCCTGATTTCTCTTCTGCTTCTAATAGCTTTCCTCCAAGGAACACCTTTGGTGTGCGTGCTGGTGTGATGAATATTAACAAAGGCTTAGAGATAGAAACAAAATGCACCACAAGCAGATTCTTGTTTGATAACAGAACCATTAATGACCTTAAAGCCAAGTTAGAAAATGATGGAACCAACACAAAACTACCTATTACACGTTACCAAGTAGTGTCTTCATTGATTTGTAAACACATGATTGTAGCATGCAATATGGAGGAACCTTGTGATCATAGAACAAGGCCAGTGGTAGTGTTGCATGTTGTGGACATGAGGAGAAGGATGGGAGAGCCTTTCTCACAAGATTCTATTGGAAACTTATTGTGGCCTGCAGTGTTGCTTTATGAGAATGTTAATAGGGACACTGATATAAGATATTTGGTTAGAATTTTGGAAGAAGAAATTGGAAAGCTTACAAAGGAATTGTTTCTGAAAGTGCAAAATGATCCTAGTTTTCTGTGGAGTGATGAGTGTGCAGAGCTAATGCTTGAAGGGATAGAGACCAAGAATCCAATTTCGTTTGTGTTCACAAGTTGGGCTAATATGGGATTCAATGAGTTGAACTTTGGTTGGGGAAAGCCTTTGTGGTTGGCTCAAAAAGGAGGTACTAAAGAAACTATTCCAAATTCAGTACTGTTGATGGAAACAGATGAGGGAATAGAGGCATGGGTGACAATGACAGAGAAACATATGGCTATCTTGGAAAATGATAAGGACTTCCTCAGATTAGCGTTGCTAAATCCTAGTTTTTCAAACTTATAGTTATTTAATCAGCATTTGAATAAATGAGGAACCAAAAAATATAGTATTAAGAATATGCTATTTTGCCAATGAAGGTTGCCAATTAAGAATATGCTATATTGATTTGTTCATGTAATTGTCTGCTAATAATTATTACATATAACGCAATATGCATTAAAGTGGGGCTTGACAAATTGAAGTTTCGTATTTTCAATTGTAACATCAAGCATGGTTAAATGGTAATTAATAACTTCCGCTCTTCTATTGAATCTTCTGTGATATAATTGTTCCTTTCTAGTTCTCACTATTGCAAAGATCTCTGATCTCTCTCTCACTCTTCTGTTGAAATGCAAAGATTAAATCTCTTTTACCAAATAAAATATAGTTGTAAATATGTACATGAATATGATTTTTGATAGTAATTTTATAGGTTAATGATAGTCCTTGGACATATTCCTTATTATCCTAATAACTTGAAATGAAACTTGTAAATTATATGTTCATAACTTAACACCAATTATGATATTAGATAATACAATCAGAAAAATGGATTGGTTAAACAGAACAGGGTTAAGTTGGAGAAGATTGCCATTGTCCAAAATGAAATCATAGATGTAGTTGCCCTCAATACTATTTTTTTCTAGCTTCTATTATCATATTTGCCTCTAAACCTTTATGAATGGACTTTGGACTTTGGAGATATTACTTTATTTGGGTTAGGTAAAAAACCTCCAATAACCTCCAAGAGCAACTTAATTTAGTGATATGAATGCATACAAAATTTAGTTTTGGTCAGGATATGCTGAGAAAAACCTTATATTCAATCTTATTAAGTTTCTATCATGTATTTTACACCTAGTCACTTCTAGTCTATCATATTGCTGAGTGTTGAAGTTGGCAGTATTGTTAAAATCTCGATTTATCACTTTACGTTTTTACGATTTTTTTACACTACGATTTTACGTTTTACAATTTTTTAATCCCCTTCCGATTTTACTTAAGATTTCGATTTTAACGGCAGGCTTCAAGTTTAAAGTCTACCGTTACAGAAGCAGCTTCTAGTCTATCATATTGCAGAGTGTTGAACGCAAGTTGGGAATGTATGCTGGAAAACCCAGGTTCCTTCCTTCTCGTATTTGTAATTTCTTATATTACACCCTTCTCAAGGGGGACAAGCTGCAGGGTAAGCAGGAAATTTTTTTTTTTCTTTATATATATAATCCATCGGTTCATCGATCAATCCACTAGTCCGATTCAAGCAGGATAGGACCACATGGGCGACAAAGCTTTTCTTATCAAATTTTAACGCAACTGCTTTTTCAGGAACTAGAATTCGAGACCAATAGTTAAGCTAGAACAACCATTTATCAGTTGATTCACGAGCTTGGTGGTAAGGAGGAAATGATTGATTGTGAAAGAAAGGTGTCTCTAATAAGCATGAAAACCAAAGGAAGCAGGATCTATCCTTAATAACATTAAAGTGGTACATTTTTTTTTATAGTTTCATCCTTACTTGTTACATAGGAAAACTACTTTGAGACATATGACATATGTTAATTAATTGGCATGGTTCTTCAATTTCAAAATATATTTAAATGGTTAATATTTAGTACTCTCCAATTTTATAACATGCAATTCCCACACCACATCATTTATGCTGAGTTGAATGCGTAAAAAGATAAAGCGCCAAAATCCAGTTGCTCACTATCTTGATTTTTGACATACTGTGAATTTCAGATAAGAAAAAAGAAAGAAAAAGATATCAATTTTTGGTGAAACAGATAATATGCTTTTGTTCTGTTCTATTAACTGTTTTTCAGTACAAGTTTTGATGGTTCCTGTGATATTTGCATTATTAATGGAGATAAAGATTTCAATTGATTAGCATTAGCATCATGAGAGAAGCTGAGTTTATGTCCTTATGTGCACTACAATGAGATTGAACTTCATTCATGTTGTATGTTCTGAATTTGGAAACAGTGAAACACCTTGCATCAGAATGCAAGATGAATTATGACATATTTTGCATAGAAATAGAAAAAGAGAAAAGTATGGGAACACAATATACAGAATATTCTTTATAATAATATCTGCATAATTCACACTATTTATATTTTTTTTCTCTGACTTTGTACTAAGAACTTTCAATATTAGATCATGGATCCATCTTCATTGTCAACAGCAATTGAATTTACTATACTCTAATCTTAACCTTCCAAATCCTGATATCCAAAAAATAAATAAAAATATGTTGGGTTTTAGGAAAGGAACTTTATGTCATTTTTCTGATGACTGTAACCTGGCTGAAAACTTGTGCCGTCCTTTTAATCTTAAGCTATAATTGCTTGTGTTAGCAGCCTTTTACATCCTTTCTCAACAATGACAGTAAGGAAGGTTTTCCATCTTCTTCTCCTTTGTTTAACCCCTGCCATAATTAATGGGAATCATGGCCTCAGAACTAGGTTTAAAATACTTCAAGGATATTTGTATTGAGTTCTGTTATTTACACACAACTTAAAACCTTCACAGACTTAAAGAAGTTAAATCATCCTTTATTTTCTTACCTCTATCTTACTGTCCCATTTTTTTTCATATCAATGCCCCATTTTGAGTATGTGAGGCTTTTAAGTTCTATGTAAATGACAAAGCTCTTTTTACATAGTTTTATTTGGTGCATTCAAATCATAACTCAAAAAAAAAGCACAGGGAACTTACATGATTGGGGTGCAACATTTTTGGGGTGATATTTTGCAATTCCTTAAGTCCTCTGCTAGATGACTTAACTTCAATTTGTGTAGAGAAAAGTGCTGAAACAGGTCGATGATCAGAAAACTTGCTTTCACTCCGCAAATAGTGTTGTTGCTCTACTCCTTTACCATACCATAAAATTCTATCACACCTGCCCCAGTATAATTAAAATAATCACTTGTTTACTTTGTTTTCTCTTTGATGATGTAAACAAATGCATGGCCTTTATAACAAAGAAATAACTATAAGTAAGAGATTACTATACCATGCAGGAGTTCTTTGCTTTTCCCAGGATCTACTTGGAAAGCCACCATAGTATATATTGCTAATGGATGATGAGTATTTATATGTGGGGGCGAATTCTATGTTACCTTCTTTCCAACCCTCGAATACACCACCTTCTTCTAGTTCTTTCTGGAGCTGATCAAACTCTTGCAAAGCCTTCCAGTCTTGCTTTCTTATCAGATTCCTTGCAAAATTGTCCTCTGAGTATAGCCTATAGTTGAGATCTCCAAACCAGAATATGCGACTGTTACACAGTTAATGCTACATGGTTAAGATGTTTGGTGTTGCACCCTTTGGAGAATTAAACACATTCATTTTTAGAAAGCATAGTTTTAGGGTGAGTTTAATTTGCTAAAAAATGAAGGACAGGACAACAAAAAGGACTAAACTAGAAAAAAAAAACAACGCCGTTAAACCTCGACTAACGAGGATAGGGATGAAGACAATACTTATATATAGTCTTGTTTCCCGGATTTGAACATGTGACCCCTCTCGGTCACAAAGAAGCAGTTTTACCACTGCTTCAGGCTCGCCCATTAAATTACTCCAACCAATAGAAACCAAAAAAATAAACAAATAAATAAAGGTAGAGACAAACTTACTCGTGGCCTAAGATAGATAGAGGATGATGAGGATAATGATGGTGTTTTGTGGTCCTAGAGAAATAGGTTCGCCTAAAAATCTCTGCTACTTGATGGTTTCTTCTCCCTTCATCACCCTTCTTTTCCCCAGATGCTAAGTGTGCTGCTACAAAACAAAAACTTGTCCCTTCAATTGACATGCTAACTGCCACTGATCCTTTGTTTCCCAAATACCCCATCACCCCACATGCCACTGAACAAACTCTCACTTTTGAAACACAATACTTCCTCATCACTTCCTCCCTCAACCACACACTGATGAACACACCAACCATCTTCTTACTCGCCACTAGCCTGTATTTGCTTCCTTCAGAGCTTGGATTCTCCAAACACTTATCATTCTCATCACCTGATATTGATGAATTCACCATAGGTGTCATCCATGAGCAGCATCCAAATTTGTCATTTAGTGCTCTTCCTATAAGCTGGTTCCAGCTTTTTCCCACAGCAGGGTCCTCCCCTCCTATCACAGTTAAGGTTTTCAATGGTACAATCTCTTGAAACCTGAAAATTGAAAATTGAATATCTTTTCATTTAATTTCACTCTAATAAAGGAAATTAAATTTCTTACAAAATATACAAGATTAATTGACTCTGGTACTATATAATAATACATACATACCCAAGAACATATATATCTGCAGCATTCTTGAGATTTAACCATTCATCCAAGTCAACAGCTAAGCTTCCTACAGGATTTTTGCCACCAACATTCCAAGTACCAACAAAGATCCTGAAATATATATACGCACAAAATTATATTATATGTCACACAGAAACCATAGACTAAAAAAAATACTTTTTCATACAGTAATTAATTTATAACCTTAGCTTGTTAATTAAAATGCATGGATCAAATTCAAGTGACCGAAGGGAAAGATCACCCCCATAGTCATCATTCTTATCTTCTGCTCCATCTGTAATACAAAGTGCACCCTGCCATTAAATCATGTCTTTCAAAGAACAACAACATAAATATATATATATATATATATATATATATATATATATATATATATATATTATCTTTTGGATAAAGGAATATAATAAAAAAACCTTCTATTTCTTTCAAAGTGTAAGATGGCATATCTTCCTTTTGCTTTCTCATAAACCAATTGCCTAGACTCCAATATCTTGACTTGTGGTTCTCAACCTCCATGGCTGATAAGATTTCAGAAGGATAGTTTTTAATTTCCTTCCATGCAAGCCACACATATAATATAAGAAGAAATAAGGTAAACTCTGCAATTTCCTTACATATAATCAAATAAGATGAAAGCTGATTTGACTACTTGTAAAGTTTTATTGTGTTGATCGCCCTATACAAACAAGAGGGGTGTGACAAACAATGGTAGCTTAAGATGGGGTTAGTCTTTGAGCGTTGAACACAAGAGAGGGAAATAAGGGTATGTATTATTTTTATTGTAAGTCAAAAGACAAGTAGCCAAGTTGGTAAGAAGCTTCATTGTCCAAGTCACTTGGAGGTGAAGTTAAGGGGTGCATTAAATGACTGCTTCCAAAGGCAACAAGAAAATTGATATAGGCCTCACAAGGTTCTATCATATATTTGATAATTAGAGCCTGTTAGGTGGTGCTGGTCACGTTTGTCTCATGGATATCTACGTGACATAGTTGTTGTTTCAATATTATTGCATGTAGAGTCAAAATAATTTTGTATACTGTAATGTTCTTCATGTTGGACCATTGTTCATCGAATGAAGACTATTATTGAAATTAAATATAGTCTCTAGCTTTTTACCTAGTAATATCATATGATTGGGGCTATACCTGTCAAGATTTTTTTGGGTATGTATCATAAATCGGCTTTGGTTGCATTTATATAGACATGATATGTTGTTGTAATGTTTCTTATATTAAATGTAATTATATGTTTTTGAAAAATTGAACTCCCAACCCACCCACCCACAACTAATTGAAAAGATTTTTTTTTCGATGTTACAATGGCAATATTGATGTGTTTCTCGATCATATGAAATAAAAAATTGCTTATAAGAAAGTGATACCACAAAAACAAATAAGCAAGTGAATTAATATTTAATAATGATACCAAATCACCCTTTCCCATATAAACAATAGCTATAAACAATCAATTCAATTTAAAAGTTTAAATTTTTGGGTGAGGTTATATTAATAATTTTATATATCTATAATACGCTCCCTCATACAAAAGCTCATTGAGTTTGAAGGGTGGACAATGCACAAGTCCACCTACTTGTACTAAGAAACTCCACGGGACTTGATTAATTATTAATTAAATGAGGGGCAATGATGATTGACCTTGTGATACCAAGGCTCTAATACCATATAAAGAATCAATTCAATCCAAAAACTTAAGTTGTTGGGTGAAGTCACAAACATTGATGATTTTACATATCTCTAACACGCCCCTGCACACGATAGCCCACTAGGCTTAAGGGTGGACAATGCACAGGCCCACATACCTATGCTAAGAAACTCCACAAAACTTGATTAATTATTAATTAAATGGAAGCATTGAAGATCGAACCCGTAACGCCGATACTTTAATAACATTTAACGAATCAATTCAATCCAAAAGTTAAGTGAGGCTAAATTAATAGTTTTATATATCTCTAAGACCATATATATATATATATATATATATATATATATATATATATATATATATATAAACAAATTTTCAGATTTTCAGAATAGGCAGATATTCAAGCGGGTTCCTTTATTCTGGATCTTTCACATTATTCTTGAGAGGTGTGTGGGCACATGATATTGACAACGGTGAGTCTGATTAGAAATTAGAAATTAGAAATTCTCTTTTGAATCCAGGAGCACAAGTCCCATAATTTTTGTGAAAATAAATAATGTTATAAAATGAGTATTTTCATAAATTTGTTGGATCTAAAACATAAATATATAATGAAAGTAACTGACCTTGAAGGCCGAAGCATGTCAGAAGGAAAAACAAAAAAAAATTCTTGCGGAAACACACATGCAATAAAGACTCTTGCTTTAAGACAGCATGATGTTACCTTTTTTTGTGATTCTAAACCACCAAGGAGGACAGTGTCAGGTTTGAAGGGTTCAAACCCTCTAACGTTGATCAACACCACCCACGTCAAGATGCAAGAGCACTTTCTTGAAAGCCACCAATTGACCACCACGAAGAGGTTTGCTATGCACTCAATAGGTGAAGAAGGAGGCTAGGTGAATGTGTTTAGAAGAGTGAGATTTTCAGCGTAAAATATCACAAAAGTGGCGCATGGAATAAAGGAGAATTGACTAGGCATTTTTCTGAAAAACCTGAGGAAGAACTCCACCAAAGTTAGCACTCAAGAGGATGAGAGAAAGAGCATTTATAAATTCAGATTTTTCTCCAAAAATCTTCCTTAAAGTGGCGCACAATCAAGGGAAATAATTCAGATTTTTTTTCTCCAAAAATCTTCCTTAAAGTGGCGCACAATCAAGGAAGAAAAATGTGGAGTTGTTTTAATTCAAAATTCTAAACAACCTTCCTTTTTCATCCTCATGAGATTATGTCTTAACATAATCAAATATTCTGACTTAATGGCCATCATATGGCCAGCCATATGTGCTCCCCATTCAGCCCAAGAAATTGTCCAGATACTTTGAGTAGTTGTATTCATATTTGAATCAACTCACTCAATTATTCTCTCATCAAATCAAATCAGATTTGAGCTTATCTGGTTGACAAGATGACACTCATCACAGCCTATAATGAGCGCCCAAATCATCCTTGAATGAGATCAAAGATCTCCTCTTGATACTAAGGATTTGTTCCAATCAAGATCTTATCTTACCTTTTGTTATGAAACAATTTTTCATAGCCAATTTAAATTCGAATTTAATTATTTAAATTCAAACGTTCAAACATTTAAATTCTAAATTCAAACTCTAAATTCAAAATTCAAAATTCAAAATTCAAATTCAAAATTCAAATTTTAAACTTCAAATTTCAAATTCGAATTTCAAAATTCAAATTCAAAATTCAAATTTCAAATTCAAAATTCAAAATTTAAATATTTGATAATTAATTTAACTAATTAAATTAATTAATAATATCTTAGACCATCCAAGCCCATTAACCAAACCATGCGCCATCTTCCTCTTAGGAGGGCTTCCGAACTTCTTATTGGGCTAACAACCCTTATTAGGCCCAATACCTTTAATGCTATATCATCTTGACAATAAGGTGTTAGTGTGTGATCCATTAGACCCAACATAGCCACTGACATAAATGGGCTTGGGCCCAACAAGCCCATAACTCATCTAATGACAACACAGAGCACTAGCAATGCTTTGTTGCCCCAGAGCTAGTTAGATTAATGACTTGATCATCCTTTTACACATATTTGGTTACCATATATATTTCCTTTCGTCTCGGTTACCTTCCCATTAAACCTAGGGTAAGGAAACGTATCAATCCTTGCGGTTTAGGGTAAGCTTTATTCGAAATAGGGAATCTTCAATTTACTGACTTTAAAGGCAGATCATCTCATGATCTCTTTTACTATGCATAGATTCCCTGTAAATATCATCCTGATTTCTCCGGTTTACTGATAACCTAATCTCTCACATAGATTTGACGAATCCCTTCAGCTTATCACCCTAGTCCTGTGCTCTTTCAGGACAAGCCCAACAGTGTACCTATGAGTCTCCATGTTTCAGGCAGACGAGGTATACAGTCAAAGCGTGCCTTCTAGAACACAGTCTAGGTAATAACTTATGGTCTAAGGAAAGACATACCCAAATATAAAGAGACTACTTTAATGATACTCTCTGTGAGATTTCCTCATAGAGTCTCTTTATGGGTCTGTTCAGTGCGAGCTATACCCTTATAGGTCCACCCACGACTTTAGCTAAGACATCTCCATATCTGTAGCTCATGAGGTCTTTACCTTGCATCCGAATACAAGTAGAAAAGTCGTGCTAGTCTTACCCGAGATCACTGATCCCCATTCTCAGTGTCTCTAGACTAGGAACATAAAATTAGGAATAAACGTTCAGTATCCTGGAATCCTCATGATCGTTATCTCATCACTGATACTCAAGAGATACCTATTTTATTTCAAGGGGTTATCCAGTTACTTATATAAAATATTAACAATAATATTGAGACAAAATATGAAACAGGATAAAGAGTGCTTTTATTTATTTGCGACAATATAAAAGGTCTACATATGTCCTAATCTAATCAAAAGATTGTCTCTAGGACATCCATATACTAACATATAATGCCCATTATGATTATACAACCTTAATATAAAACTACTTTCTTTGGAATGGGTGATTAAATTTTACTGTGATTAATCCCTACTCGAGATTAGTCTCATAATTAGTTCAAAGAATTGAAATTTGTGAAGATATCTAAGGAGCTGACTCACCTCAAAAAGATAATTAGAATCACTGTACAAAAGAAAAAAATTACTTTCTGCTCTATCAAACAAGTTAAAATGTATATGACCCACTTATATATTTCTAATTGTTTAAATCCTATGAAATTTGGATTAACATTATAACAAAGTATAACTTATCGGCTGAGTTAGTTGAAATTTCCTACAAAGTTATCTTCATATATAGAAAGGAGAACCAAACTTTGGAAAGTTTGCTGACGTGTCGCTCTCTCCTTCATTTTCAGCTTTGTGTTCACACTAGAGGATAGTTTGAAAAGTTACTTCTTTTGGAAAAAAAATTTATTTCGTAAATAAAAAATTCTAAAAAGGAGGGAGAGTTTCTTTTAAATCATTATAAAATACTGGGTGGGAAACGCATAAATGGAGGCGCCTTTATTGATTGCATGGGTAATTGTTAATTATAAAAACGAAATATTGGTGTGCAAATTGCTTTTTCGTCTGCATCACAGCGACGAACTGTTGTTTTCCAAGCTTCTTTGGTCCATTTCTCTTCTTCTTCCGTGATTGTATTAATTTTCTTTGGTTCATTTATCTTCTTCTCCTCTTATTATATCGTTAAACATAATGAATCCAAAGTACGATTTCATAAAGGATATTAATCCTACAAAAGAAGGCTGGAGGATTAAAGTGCGCGTGGTTAGGTGTTGGAAGGTTCCCAGTTTTAATCCAAAAGATTTTGATGACAATGTTGATATGGTTTTGTTAGATGAACAAGTAATGTCTCTTCTTTATCATCTTTTGTTTTCAGCAGGTGCATTGTCATTTTTTTGATTGATATAGTGCATGTTTTTCATTTTGTAGGGTGGAAGGATCCATGCTACGGCGAAGGGTACTTTGCATGTTCGAAAGAAAATTTGCGAGGGGGATGTATATTTTATAAAAAAATTCGGAGTTGGGTTGAATAGTGGTAATTTCAGGCCAACA